TGAACATGTTTAAAAACTGACTGAACTATTACAGGTCATGTGGAGCGAGGGAAGCTCCCAACACTAATTTAATGACGCCAACATCGTCCACATCTACAAGAGCATGGGCAACCGCCAGAATTGTGATAATCACCGGGGAATTTCGCTCATGTCTATAGCCGGCAAGATTCTGGCCCGCGTCCTGCTGAACCGCCTCCTCCATCATCTGGAACAGGGACTCCTCCCAGAGACTCAGTGTGGCTTCTGGGCCAAATGATGAACTGCAGACATGATCTTCGCCGCCTGCCAACTCCAGGAAAAATGCTAGGAGCAGCACTGCGACTTACATGTGAACTTTGTGGATCTAACGAAGGCCTTCGACACTGTCAGCGGAGAAGGACTGTGGCCGATCATGGAGAAGTATGGATGCCCAAGTAAATTCATCGACATCGTCAGACAACTTCACGATGGTATGATGGTGAAGGTGCTAGGGGACGGAGATGAGTCAGACACCTTCCCTGTGACCAACGGCGTTAAACAAGGGTGCGTCCTTGCCCTACCTCTTTTCAGCCTAGTATTCTCTGCCATGCTAACAGATGCCTTCCACAACAGTAAAGGTGTCATCCGTATCTGGTACAGAACCGACGGCAGGCTGTTCAACATCAATCGCTTCCATGCTGCTACCAAGGGGAAAGAAACAGTTATCAGGGAACTTCTCTTCGCCGATGACTGTGCCCCCAACGCTAGCACAGAAGAGTGTATGCAAAACGAAATGAACTGTTTCGCCTTAGTCTGTGACAACTTCTTCCTCGGCATCAATACCAAGAAAACCGAAGTCATGTATCAACCAGCCCCCGGACAACCATACACAGTGCTACAGATCATGGTGAAGGGACAGAAACTCCAGGCAGCGGACCACTTTACCTATCTAGACAGCACACTTTCATGTGCCGTACATATAGATGCTGAAATTAACACCAGAGTTGCCAAGGCCAGCGCGACCTTTGGGAGGCTTCGCAAGAATGTCTGGGAGCGCAGAGGACTCAGCCTCTCACCAAAGCTGAAGGTCTAGCGGGCAGTGGTTCTCACCATCCTTCTCTACGCCAGCGAGACCGGGACTGTCTAAAGCAGACATGCCAAGCAGCTCAGTCGATTCCACCTGAACTGTCTCCATAAAATCCTCCACATCAGATGGCAGGCCAAAGTCCCAGACACTGCTGTTTCAGAGCGAGCTGGAAGCCCCAGCATCTACACCATCCTCCACAATACGCTAGCCAGATGGGCCGGCCACGTGATCAGAATAGCGGACAGCCGGTTTGCCCAGACAGCTGATGTATGGAGAGCTTCTTCATGGCAAGCGCTCATTTAAAGGGCAGAAAAAAGGTTTCAAGAACTGCCTCAATGTCTCACTAAAGGAACTTGGAATCCTGAACCCCTCGTGGGAAACGCTGGCCCTAGATCGTCCCGCGTGGCGCTGAAACCTAACGAAGGGAGCCAAAGCAGCAGATGCCAAGTGCATCCCTGAAGCCAAACAAAAACGCAACGTGCACATGTCTAGACCTGCCTCCACCACAAGCCCAACAGCAGACTACCCGTGCCCACAATTTGGGCGAACCTTCCGAGCCCGGATAGGCCTACCTAGCCATTTCCCGACCCACAGTCACCGTCAACAGACCAATTTGTGAAGTCATGGTCATCTTCATAAGCGAAGGACGAACAACACACAAGCAGAGCATGGATGAAAATCTCACTCTTACATTAAACTTTATTTATAAGACAAGCGCATGCACGCAGGAAAAACACACACACACACACACACACACACACACACACACACACACACACACACACACACACACACATACATACATACATACATACATACATACATACATACATACATACATACATACATACATACATACATACATACATACATACATACATACATACATACATACATACATACATACATACATACAGAGGGAGAGAGAGAGGGGGAGAGAGAGGGAGGAGAGAGAGAGAGAGAGAGAGAGAGAGAGAGAGAGAGAGAGAGAGAGAGAGAGAGAGAAACTGGATATACATTTTACATGCTTAGGAAGCGTATGAATTACAGTTATCGTTATAAATATCCTGCAATCCCAAAATTGTTCACAGTCATCGGATTAGTGCTGACCCCAAGTGACCCCCATTCCTATCTCCTGGCTTTTCCCTTAAAAAAAACAAAAACAGAAAAACGTTGCATCGTAAGTCGTGCGCATCAACATCCCAGAGTTCAGGTCGATGTGAGATGAAATTCACCAGGTATCATTAAGGTAAGGCTATTCCACGGTAACTGACGGTACATTGGGATTATGCTTTCTTGCAATGATAACATTGTAATTTAATAGCAATGTATTTATTCATTTCAACTTTAAATTATCAGAACATTTGAAAAACGTATGGAGGATTCTATTATATGCAGTCTTTTGAAAAAAGTTCTTTATGCAAATGTTGTGGGCGTGTGTAGTTTCGGTAACTGACGGGACAAATGAGATGGGAGGGGGGGGGGGGGGTTGTCTCGTCAGTTGCCGTGGAATAGCCTAGCGACTAGGGAAAGATGAGTCACGACGCGATGGAATCAGGCGCTCGTCAGGTTTTTGATGGGTAATACAGAGTTCTTGTTCTAATGCCGGAGCCTCATCAGTTGTCTTTCTTTTCGAGAAAAAATATACTTACATATATATATATAGAACAGAAGTCAAGTTATTTGCTATTGAAGGAGGTGCGGTTGCCTGGCGTCTGTAGTAAAATTAGCGAGAAAATAGCCGCCTTGGAGACTTCCAAAGCTTGAGAGTCCTTGGAAACTACAAATTTAGGCCTACATTTTGTCGTGTCTGTAATCAACGTTTTTCAGTAAATCCACCTATAAACGTGTTTTTGAATGGACATTTTTATTATAAGGTGTGGCGCCAAACAAAAACAAAAACAAAATGAACAAAAAAATTGACCAATGGCAAAAAGAAATGCCGATTTAATCGATTGCATTATTTTGACGAGCGCCTGATTTCAGCACGATGCCTTCGAAATTGTAAGTGAGATGGTAAGTCAGATGGTCACTTCTTGACCTCTGCGGTGAAAGCCCTCTACACTCGATTGGTCGCTTAATGATAATTGACTCTCCCACCAACACCTTGACCCCAGGGTCAATCATTCATATATCCTTGATATGTATCGAACCAGAGTCTATAACAAAGAGGATAAGCGCTCTTCCTTTGCACGCCACGCTAAAACTACACACCACGAGTCGGAAATTCTTCTGCTATCTACCATGTCTGCGTGTCTGTGAGTGATCTATGTGTGCTCCTGTGCGTGCGTGTGTGCGCCTGTGTGTGTGTGTATGAGTGTTGGCGAATGAAGTGTTGACAAACATAATAATATGTTCTGTGTATTTGGACAATGCTGACAGGCTCGTGTCTATCTTTCGAAAGAGGTTTTCTATTCGTCTGTGTGGTAAAAAATTCGTGAAGATATCTTGACATAATGTCTTGGTGAGTGTTTACCTAAAACACTAAAATTTAAGACATTCCAAGTAACCTGAAGAATCAATAATCAAAAATCCATGACAAAGAGAACAAATACAAATCATGAATCAACCCCCCCCCCCCAAAAAAATCAGAAAGAGAGAATAGAGTGTTTATATCAAGCTTAAAATAGCGATCAACAGACCAACTGTAAAGTGATAAAGACAAGCTTGGTCGCCACAAACAGAACTATGTTGCACACGCATCCGTCAATACACACACTCACCCTCTCTCACACACACACACACACGTATACACACACTTTGTGTGTGTGTATGTTTGTGTGTGTGCGCACGCGTGGTTGGCCTCTCTCTCTCTCTCTCGTTCTCCCTCTCTCCCTCCCTCCCCCTCTCCCTCTCTCTTTCTCTCTCTCTCCCTCTCTCTCTCTCCCCCTCTCTCTCTCTCTCTCTCTCTCTCTCTCTTTCTCACTTTCTCTGTCTCTCTCTATCTATCATTCTATCTATCTATCGATTGATCTCACACTCACACGAGCGGGCACACGCACGCACACACTCAAAACTTCTTACGTCAAATTTCCCAAAACTACTCTACCTCAGATTTCCACAATTCAGTCTGCTCAGTGCCTAGTTTTGAGAAATGTGACGCCTACGAGTTTCACATGTCAAGCGTTTTCGAATGCAATTCCCTGAATTTGAATTTCCTGATAACCTCTCCAAATAACCTTTCGATTTTGGTAGAGCAGATTGACCATTTGTGACGCAGCGTGGTGGAATCAGGCTCTCGTCAAAATAATCAAAGTGAAGAAACTTGCATTTTTTTGCAGGTTTGTGAATTTTTAGCAAATTTTTGCTTTTAGGCTCAACACCTTTCATGCCCATTAAAGAAATCATTTCTGTGTGGATTCTTCTGAAAAACGTTGATTAAAGACACAAAAAACGTAAACTTTCAGTTACCACGGACTCTCAAGCTAAGGAAATAACTAATCTTTGGCTGCCATTTTCTCACTAATTTTACCTCTGAAAACAGGTGACCCCCACCTCATTCACTCGCCAATATCTCGACCTACATTCAAGATAAATTGATTGTTTTTCATCCAAATAAAGATAAGCGAACAAGCTTGAAGGTGAAATCAATAACTCTACATGCCTAAATATTGACGAGAGCCTGATTCCACCACGCTGCCTCGCATTTATTTCTGACCTAATGGGCTCTGTAATTAAAAACGGCCAAAAATGTCAGATAGAACTTAATAATGTTGAGGTAGCGGCTAGACATTGAGCAGATAGAAGTTTGTTTTGTTTTAGTAAGATTTGTACGGCTCTCACAACTGTATGAGAGCGAGAAAAAAAGTTGGTTCCATTCCCAACAGTTCACTGCACAGCCTGAGCCTGGTGAACACGTCTCTTGAAATGCTAAAATACTAAAAATTAGTTAGAAGTTTATAATTCTAAGGTAGCGACCTGTCTCCTCTTTCGTCAACACATCAGACCCCCCATCATGCCTCAGTACCGCGACAGTTGCCCAGTGGCCGTGCAGTGCTGTGACGTCAGAAAGCACTACGGAAGTGGTCGTTCCAAGCAGGATGTGCTGTGTGGACTGGATATGAACGTGCCTTATGGGGCCATGTGAGTTATTTTGTTTTCCATTGTTTTTCTTTGTTTTTCTTTGTTTGTTTGTTTGTTTGTTTGTTTGTTTGTTTGTTTTGATCGGGGTTTTTTGGGTTGTTGTTTTTTCTGGGGGTGGGGGGGGTCTATATATATAGGTAGAAAGACAGATAGATAGATAGATAGATAGATAGATAGATAGATAGATAGATAGATAGATAGATAAATAGATAGATAGATAGATAGATAGATAGATCGAATACTGCTATCATTATTAACATTATTATCATCGCTTTATTTATTTAGTTATTATTATTATCATTATTATTATTATTATTATTATTATTATTATTATTATTATCATCGTCAACATTAGTATGTATAACGCCCTTCCTCTCTCCGTGTGTTCAGTTATGGTCTGCTGGGCGCTAGTGGCTGTGGAAAAACCACCCTGCTGAAGTGTATTGTGGGCCGGACTAATGTACACGGCGGTTATGTCTCCACACTTGGACGGACGCCTGGGACTTCCGGTCATCTGGTGCCGGGGAGGATGGTCGGGTACATGCCTCAGGTAATGACGTGGTGGTGGTGGTGGTGGTGGTGGTGGTGTGATAGTGGTGTGGTGGCGGTTGTGGTGTTGATGGTGGTGGTGGTGGTTGTGGTCGTGTGTAGGTGATGATGATGATGATGATGAGGGGAGGAGTAGGAGGAGGAAGAAGAGGAGGAGGAGGAATAGGGATAATGATAATCGATTAAACCAAAGGGCCAAAACGGTAGAGAGTTTTATGATTTATTTACACACACACACACACACACACACACACACACACACACACACACACACACACACACACATACACACACCCACATACACACACTCTCTCTCTCTCTCTGTATCTCTCTCTCCCTTTCTCTCTCGCCCTCTCTCTCTCTCTCTCTCTCTCTCTCTCTCTCTCTCTCTCTCTCTCTCTCTCTCTCTCTCTCTCTCTAGTTCTCTCTTTCTCTTTCACTCTATCTATCTTTCTATCTATCTCTCTGTCTATGCCTCTATCTATCTCTCTATCTCTCTATCTCTCTATCTATCTATCCCCGCCCACACTCGTCATCCATTCTCTTTAGCTATGCCTCACTCATCCCCAGGAAACAGCTCTCTTTGTGCGCTTCACCATCGGAGAGACCTTGACCTTCTTCGGCCGTCTTCACGGCATGAGCAGCGATGCTATACGGGAACGTACAGACTTTCTCCTGTCATTCCTCACGCTTCCGGAGAAGTCGAGACTGATTGGCCAACTCAGGTCCCGTGATGTTGTTTATTTTTCGATGCAAAATTTGTCAGGCTTTTGGGTTTTTTGGTTGTTGTTTTGTTGTTGTTGTTGTTGTACTTGTTTTACTTTTCGCCGCTTTTGACAAGTTGTTACCTCAGAATTTCAAAATTCTATCTGATATTTTGAGTTACTAAGACGAATCAATGTTCATCTGCTATATTAATATCGTAAGATTACTCGGAGTCGTTACGAGATATTCAAGGAATTTGCGTTCGAAAAAGTTTGACAAGCTGTGAACCTCAAAAAGTTTGGCGTAAAATTTCTCAAAACTAAGCACTGAACAAATAGAATAAAGATTAAACCATGCATATGTGAAGACATATAATGGAAAGTCCTGTTTTTCAATTGTGTATCATGATTTGAAATGTGCAATGCCATTATTGCCTTTATCTTACCTTCTTTCCTATCAAATACTCATCGCTCTTATCTCTCCTCTTTTTTTGTTACTCTCTTGTAACACATTGACCTTCGATACTTACATGACCTTACTGTAATGCAAGTGCCGTAAAACTCTTAAAGAGGGGAGGGGCTACACCTGAAGGCTACTCGCTTATTAGTTTACCATTTACCAAATTTTACCAAATTTTGCACATATAACAAGCATAATGAGGAGCCTTAAAATCCGAAATAAAATTGGAGTAAAAAGTTTCGTTTCCATGGATACGGCAGCCAAATAGGATTTTGTTGACATGTCTTTCGTAATGAATATCGCACATATTTTTTATGGAAATTGAACGATTTTTTACATGCATGTTGGCAAATATTAGGTCTAAAAATTTGTCTGTTGTTTTTTATTAAACGAATTAGCAAATTTTGAATGAATTTTTTTCCTGGGGTATTATTTCAAGTTTGCGAGAAATCCGAAAAAATCCACACTCCGGACACCACCAACATAAAGCTATTCCATATATCAAAAAGTCAAAAGATAAATTTTTAGCATTAAATCTTTTCTTCATTCTGAGAAAATCGTATGAAGATTGGATGAATAACGGTGGAGTTAATCAAAAAGTATAGAGAAATATCGCGTTTTGAGAAAACAGAAAAATAAAAAATAAAAATATATTGACTTTAAGAGGAAATGGTGGTGACAAACATGCCCGGTATGGGGAAAATACGGCCTTTATGGGTTCTTAACAGGAGAAATAGTTGTAGGCAGGGGTGAAGCGTCTTTATAATCAAATAATCACTGCTTCCCTTCCTAATTTTGAAACATTGTCGCTGTCAAATTCATCCATAAACGTAAACCTCTTGAATTAAATGTCAAAAGACGTTCGTAATCAACAATGAACAGTATGCCTAACATTCAAAACGGTTTCACGGCCACAGAAATAGCCTCCTCACCCCTCTCGGGCCACTCCATAAGCAGTCGCAAGCTTTGATTAAGTAAGCTTAAAGTGAGGCTGGAAGAGTCCACCAATATAGTTGAAGGGAACATGTGCATAGCAGTCTAAGCTGTTTCATTGCCACATATACCCTGTTCACCCCTTTGGGGTCACAGTTAAAATCAATCTCAAGCCCTGATTATGTAAGCTAACTAACACTGGTCGAGTCTACCTCACAAATGTGAGGGGAACTAACTCCTAACAATCTCTTGACTGCTGCAAGTGCTTGCTTTTTTTTCCTCGACTTTTTACTGTCCTATAACCAGATCGTGACCTCGATTATGACACCAGCTCCTGGCCGCGGAAGGCTAACAAAAACAGCCAAATGTAAGATTTAAAAAATGATAATTGTCATGTTCTACCAAAGAGTTAGACTCACTGGTAGATCTATAACATATAGATCTAGTACTGACGCCTCTGCTTCTTTGCTTTGTGTTTATGTATTCACATCTAAAGTTAAATTTAATTTTAGTTGGAACTGATATTTAATAAGATACTTTCCCGATTATTTTGGCGGTTGAACATACAATATGAATTCCGGATTTGTTTTCATTCACAACTCAGAGTCGCCGCCTCGAGTAAGATTCTTGTGTCATATCTACAGGCCATATCTGGTCCCGTTTCACTTTGATTACCCTGTCAAACAAGTCAGCCTTCGCCCCTGGTTGTAGGAGAGGCTGAGGCAGCTAAAATGGGTACAACTCAAATTCCATAATTTCGAGCCGAATTGGGACTTTGGGGGTGTACCCCCCCTCCCCCCCCCCCCCCCCCTTACTACAACAAAATAAAACAAAATATTCTTATAGTGTGTTCCTGAAAAAAAGGTGCCAGTTGTCGATAAACTATTTTTGAGAAACGAGATGAAAAAGCCAAAAAAGTCGTTTAATAACCTATTGAAAACATTTTGTAATATTTTAATTATGAATATTTTTAACTGCTTATTTTAGCAACATCCTGTATTTCACCAAAGGTTAAAAATGTAATAGAAATTGCGTCAAATTAATGAGGTATAAGACATTTTCTCCAAACTTTGTTTTCACACACTGAGTTACAAGATGTGGCATACCTTTGAAAATACTCGAGGTATTGGAAAAAAACAAAAACCAGCGCGTTCAGCATGATATTTGCAACAAAAATATAACCTTATTCAAGTTTTCACATTTATGACAACTGGGACCTTTATCCAGGCACACACACACACACACACACACACACACACACACACACACACACACACACACACACACACACACACACACACACATAAATGTGTGTTACATTTTAAAGAGAGTTAAGAAAAGTAAATGTTGACACAAATTCTGGTACTGTTCTCCAGTGGAGGACAACAGAGGCGGGTGTCTCTTGCTGCGGCGCTGCTACAGGAGCCGGAACTACTTATCCTGGACGAGCCAACCGTCGGCGTGGATCCGGTGCTCAGAGAGAAGTAGGTCACTCAGCGGCTACTGTGCCGTTAGCCTACAGAACGCCTTTTTTGTAAGGAGGGTGGGGGCTGATAAATCAATGTCATGCTCATACTGTGCCTGAACAACATGGGGGGGGGGGGGGGGACTGCTGCTTTTTCTTTCCTTATCCTTACTGTCGCCATTAATCCTCTACTCCTTTTGCATGTTTGTCACTCTCTTGTGAACTGCTTTTTCTAGGGTACCTTGATAGTCGAAGCAGACTTTGTTATGTTGAGGCTAGAGAAATGAAAAGAATATTGATAAGTCAGATTTCCTGTTTGGACTTCTCTGTTGACATCCACCTTTTGCGCTCATTTGACTTTATGCAGCTGCGAGCGCCGTAGAACCTTACTGAAACAACGCCTGTTTTTCATTCACAGCAGTTTCGAGAAAAAAGGAGGGGGGGGGGGGATGTTGTCAGTGTAACCATTGAAAATTAAAGTGCTCCCAAAATTTGAATTCTAATTGATTCAAAACAGGTCACAGTTTCACTTTGATTTTTTTCACACAAGTAGGGAAACTGATCAGGCTTTCGATTTAAGGAATAAAAATATTTGGTGCCGAAATTTTAAAAAAGGCATTTTGTCAGCTTACGGCAGTGCAGCTGTGCTAGACTTTTTGCTACTTCAGACTTACAAAGTTCTATCTACTCAGTACATGTACCTACCTTTGATGATTTGACGTCCAAGATTTCGAGTTCTACAGCATGTCAAGGTTTTTTTTAAATGCAATTCTTTAACTATCTTGATAACGACTTCGAATAATCTTACAATTTTGATAGAGCATTTGGTTTCTGACTTCATGATCTTGTAACTGAAAACAGCCAAAAATGTCTGACAAAAAATTGTAATTCTGAGGTAGCGATTTATTATATATAATTTATTATAATCACGACGTGGTGAAATCAGGCGATCAGGTGCTCCTCAATTCTGCCGTACAGTGACAAAACGCCTTTGTTATTCACAGTACCTAGTTTCGAGATAAACAGACTTTTTGTCAGCGTAACCATTAAAAAAATTTTTTTTACGAAATTTATCAGAATGAAATTTAATTTATTAAAAAACTAGTCATCTTTTAACTTAAATTTCACACAAGTAGGGTAACTGATCAGGCTTTCGATTTAACAAATTAAGAAACAAATGGCGTAAAAAAAAAATGTTAAGCAGAGGCGTTTTGTCAGCTCACGACAGAATTTTTGGGCGTATGGAGATATTGGTATCTGCCTAAAGCTTGTTCATTCGTCCTGTTTTTAATGGAAAATACCCATCTTTTAAGAATAGAAGTTAAGCTATTTGCAAGTAAAAGAGGTGGATCTCGCCTGCAGTCAGAGATGAATATAACGAGAAAATGGCCGCCGAAGTTTGGTAATTTCCAAAGCTTTAGTTTCCTTGTAAACAGCAAATGTACAATTCTGTGCATTTGGTTTACATTTCCTCCCAAAAAAGTCAGTACCGAAAAATATTCTTTAATGAACATAAAAGGTGTGGACACCCCCCCCCCCCCCCCCCCAAAAAAAAAAAAAAACAACCCCAAAAAAACAAAACAAAACAAAACAAAACCCGATGAAAACTGCCCAACGGACGAGAAACTGTCAGTTTCTTTGATGCCATTGTTTTTCTTTTTTAACGAGTGCATGATTTCACCAGGATGCATACATTAACTTTAACTTTTTTTTCTGTCCTCCTGTACTGCTAGTTGTCCAGAGGAGTTTTTTGTCAGTGTTGCTCGCAGGAGACCCGAATTCGATTCCCGAGTTGGAAGAAAAGTTTTGTTGAGTATCTCGGTTTTTCTGCTGGGATGTTGTATCCCTCTCAGTCTCAGTCCAGGTTGGCCGCCAGGGAAGGGTCGTAAGCCCGTTTCCCAAATGATCTAATTTGTGACTTTTTTTTTTTTTTTTTTTTGGTGGGGAGTGTCAAAACATCGCTAGAGACAGGGTAGGAAGTCCACCTCCTATAATAATATGATCTGAATTATGTCGAAGGGGCGTAGAGATACCTACTTTAACATATTTTTAAAACTCTAACCAATACTGAATTGACACCATTTTATAAAGGATAAAATTTATCCTATTTTTACTCCAAATTAATCGAAGAGTAATTGAGTGATGCTTAGAGATCGCTGATAACTTACTTGGTTTCGTGCTGGATTACGACACGGGTGGCCCTGGCTCCAATCCCTTATGTGGAACTCTGAGCTTGGCTGGTTTTGGATAGATATTGAGCCTCTATATTCCCATTTCACTTTACTTTATCCTTTCCACGATGAACGTAACACTCGGAAGGTTCAGTTTCTCTTTTTTTAATCTTATGGTATTGAAAGGGACGTAAAGCGTAAACAATTTCGAACATTTCGTACTGACATTAGTAGTAGTAGTAGTAGTAGTAGTAGTAGTAGTAGTAGTAGTAGTAGTAGTAGTAGTAGTAGTAGTAGTAGTAGTAGTAGTATTTATTTCTAGAATTATTGATTTATTGATTTTTTAATTCATTTATTTATTTATTCATATAATAATGTATTCAATTATTCATTTATTCATATTTATGAATTCATTATTTATTTCTAGGATTTGGGAACACCTGTTGGACATCGCCAAAAGTAGTTTGAAGACCACCATCATCATCACTACACACTACATCGAGGAGGCGGCATTGGCTGACAGAGTGGGTCTTTTGTTTAGCGTTATTTTTTGTGTCTTTGATCAACACCTTTTTTTGCTAAACTCCACTCAGAAATGTGTTCTTAAAAAGACATAGAAGGTACTGGGCCAAAAAGAAAAGAACATTCGAAAAAAGTATACAGTGTATTACCCAACGACCGGAAAAATGCCAGTTTCCATAGTTACGATATTTTGACTAGCGCTGCTTCTCCTGTTTTCTTCCTCTCATAGACTTTTATGCTGGAAGTCAAGAAAAAAGTACCATTTTTTAAATTGATTACGAAAAAAGCCTAGTTTTTTGTGTGTGTCTTACACTTTTTCCCTTCATGTGAGTATTTTTAAGTACTCTAAAAAAAAAAAAAGGGCCATTTTATAAAATCAACATTTTAGTGCGCACAGCAAATTTGTTTGTTTTTGGTTTTTGTTTTTTTGGGGGGTGGTTTTTTTTTTTTTTTTTGTTTGGGGGGTTTTTTGGGGGGAGGGGTGGGGTTGTTGTTGATGATGATTTTGCATATTTTGTTTCGTTTTGGGTTTTTTTGTGTTTTAATCGTTAATATATTATGATATCAAAGACTGTAAACTCTGTGAAATATTACCGGTTAACCATTTGGCGCACCATTTTACTCGCTTGGAAGAAAATGAAAGGGAAAAAGAGAACGGTCGTGTGCCCACTCGACTAAAGCTAGATTGGTTACTCTACCACCTTAGAATTACAAAGTTCTATCTGACAGTTTTGGCCGTTTTAAGTTACTAATACCATGAGGTCAGAAACCAAACGTTCTAGCTGCTCTATTAAAATCCTAAGACATTCAAAGATTGGCATTCGAAAAAGCTTGACATATTGTGAAACTTAAATTTTTTACCTCAAATGTTTCAAAACTAGGTACTGAACAGATATAACTTTGTAATTATGAGGTAGTGACTTGACATTTACTGTACACAACAGCACTTGGAAGTTTTCCTAGAGAACACAGACCGACGGACATGACAGTTGCACAGTGTGGGATACTATAGTTCAAGGCTATGCCTTCTCTCTTCTGCTTATCCATAGATTTATTTCCCTACCTAGGTCGGACTGATGAGAGGTGGCCGTTTGCTGGCGGAAGACAAACCCAGCACACTCATGTCAACCTACAAGTTACAGGTAAAACTTCAGATTGATTATAATAAAATTGCCACGGCGTGGTGGAATCAGACACTCGCCAGTTTTAGGGGATGTGAAGTTATTGGTATCGTCTTAATAAAGCTTATGCATTTGTTTTGCTGGAGAAAAAATACCGTTCTATCTTGAATTTCTCTTTAAGAAATATCATTCCCCTCTTTTTTTGTTTTAGTAGAAGTTTTACGGAGCTCACTATTGCATAAGGTCATATGATCGCCGTTTCCCCTCTTTGATTAATGTTCTCATTGGTCGTTGTCAGACATTTCCGGACGAACTCTTCTTCTTCTTCTTCTTCTTCTTCTTCTTCTTTTTCTTCTTCTTCTTCTTCTTCTTTTTCTTCTTCTTCTTCTTCTTCTTCTTCTTCTTCTTCTTCTTCTTCTTCTTCTTTTTCTTTTTCTTTATTATTAATACTATTATTACTATCATTACTATTATTATTTTTATTATCATGATCATTCTTATTATCCTTATCATTATCGTTATTATCATTATTATCATTATCATTAATATCATTATTATCATTATTATCATTACTATTATTATCATTATTATCATCATCATTCCATGCCCCACCATGCACCAGAACCTAGAAGCCGTGTTTCTCCACCTGTGTCACCGCGATAGACTGCCAAACGAGGACGACGAGGAACTCTTACCCTCCATATCTCTGCCGTCCGCTTCCGATCAAGAATCGGTGAGTCTGTCTCAAATCAGGACGTGTGATGTTTTGTTGTTTTGTTTCTGTTGTATGTGTTGTTGTTGTTGTTGTTGTTGTTGTCATTGGTGGTGGTGGTGAGTTTTTGTAATTTTTTTTTTTTATTATGAAGTTGCAGTTCGTCAGCTGCTACTGTTATGGTTACCGTCATAGGCCACAAGCTCTCAAGGATAATGATGATGATGATGATGATGATGATGATAATAATAATAATTAGAATAATTAGAATAATTAGAATAAATTAATAGTAAAAATAACAATAACAATAACAATAACAATAATAATAATAATGGTAATAATAGTAATAGTAATAATAATAATAATATGTAGAGATAAGAACACACACACACACATTTATATTATACATATATATATGAATTATATGAGGATAGAAATAATGTTTTGTTTGTTTTTATCTGTCGGTCGGTCGGTTTGTTTTTCCGTCTGTCTGTCTGTTTATTTGTTTTGGGTGAAAGTGTCAGAGTTTTTCTGTTTCTTTGTCAAATGGCGACCAGGTGAAAGTACAATACAAACGACCTGACTCAGACTCCACGGGAGACTCGGTGCTGCTTCTGGGAGGGAACAAAAGCACGACCTATGGCAGTTTGAAGACGCCCCGTGGTAAATTTTGTTTTGTTTTTATTTGTTGTTTTTTGTGTTTTTTTCCATCTTTCATGTTTCATGACCCTATCGATATTGTTTAAATGTGAGAAACCATGGAGCAGAGGAAGATAGGACTAACGCTAACATTACTTAAACGCTATACCACATCATCACTCATTACCACCATTATTTCTAAAATCATTATTGCTCTCAGATCAATTACCTGCTTCTAAAATCCTAGAATCTCTATCTATAACAGTTACCTGTCATACTAAATATGCTCATAATACTCAATTGGACACTATCATGCGCACTTTTTTCTACTAATCTCATATACCTTGGCAAAGGATTAAAACAAGAATTTTAAAATGTGAGACATCGTAATAAAATCAGAATAAAGAAGTCAAAGAAATTGTCATTTTTCCGCCGGTTTGGTTATTTTTATAGAATTTTGATTTTTGGTTAAACCCCTTTTATGTCCATTTTAAAACTCTTTTCAGTATGAATTCTATTGAAAAATGCTGATTAAAGATACACTAAATTGTAAAGTTTCATTTCCCAAACCTTGGCCGTCATTTTCTCGCTAATTTTACTCCTGAAACCAGGTGATCCCCACCTAGATCTAGTTCAATCGCAAATATTTCGCCTTTAATTTAAGATAGATGGGTAATTTTTTAAAATCTAAAGCAAAATAAATGAACAAGCTTTAGGATAATTCCAATATCTCCGAGCGCCTGATGCACATTTTTAGGAGGCCTAACGGGGTCAAGAAGTCCTCATGGGCCTCGCGTTGATCAAAACAATCAGGAAAAGTCGAATTAATTCGGTTCCTGGGACAGGTGATCGGACATAATATAGACCTTGAACATCTGATCTAACTCTTACTGGCGAAATTGAAAGTAAACGGGGCAGGAGTAGACCCAGAGCACCTTATAATTTTGAGAGCCTGAAAAGGGGATGATGAGGCAGGATCAGGATAGAGAAGCCTTCTTTCTTAGTTTGTTTTTTGTAGGGAATTTTTTTTTTGATTATCCGAGCAAAAGAACGAATGGACAGCCATGATCGTTGATGTCTGTCCCAGATCTGACTCGAGGGGGGTGGGCGGGGGGGGGGGGCTCTCGTGGTCTAAAGGTTATGGTGCTCGCCTTTCATTCAATAGATCCCGGGTTCAAAACATGACATTGACGGAAACGTTTCTTCACTTAAATATTCTCCTTTCACCTCCTTTTCTGCTCTCTAACAATGTTCTATTGTCTGTTTTCGTCTCCACTTTCTGTGCTCCCTCCCCACCCCTTGCCCTCCCCATGCCCATTTCTCTGGGCTCCTGACTCTTTCTGCTGCCTTTCTACTGCTACTCCTTGGCTCCTTCTTACTGTTGTCTTTTAGCCATACCCTTGTTCTTAGGATAGGAGAGACCTCACACCTAGCCTTCTCGGATAAGGGGGACAAAAATTTCGGAAGTCCCGTGTGCAAGTTGTGCATGTTAAAGATGCCTTAGTGGTCCTAAATTCAAAACTAATTCCTACCATCTTGAAAATGCTTTAATTGTACCACGCGGTCATACGTCCTAATACAGCTGCGAGGGCCGTATACATTTACCAATAAAAACCTCATACACATACTCAGGCTACGAAGATTGTGTCGTTCCAGGTTCGCCATTGTCCAAGAGTAGACGGTTCCGGAAAATGGCCATGCTGCCTAGAGCTAGGAACCTGTACGCTCTGTGTGTCAAGAATCTCACGTCAATGAAAAGAAATATACCGTAAGCACATTAAAAGAAGGCGTCAATAAAAAATAATTATATCGGTAGTACACAAACAACTGACATCGATAAAACAATATATACCGTATGTATACAAAAAGATGGTGTCAATAAGAAAAGGAATATTCCGTAAGTACACAAGAATGTTATTACGTCAATGAAAAGAAATGTACCGTAGATCTAAGTACAGGGTGATCCAAAAAAAACTTTACAACTTTTTTCCTGAATATCTTGCGCAAAAATTGCTCTAGATTGCTGTAATTTGGAAGAGACATAATTCATTCAAAAGAAATTTGCTTGATATAAAATCAACGAAAAAGAAACATGTTTTGAAAACGAAAACGGCTAAAAGATAAAAGCACCCAAAAACGCAAAGTTCACCAATGTTTAAAAATCGTGTAAAGGAAGTCGTGAAAAGATTACTTGACCTTTTTCTTTATTTTCTCTTTGACATTAATATTCCATCCCTCTGACATCTAAACAATATTTAAATTCTTTTACAGAGTTTAAAAAACCTAATGATTTCATTCTGACATTCCTAGAAGCAGTGCTCCATATTCCATACTTTGGACTCGACACATTTTTAACGCGTCTTTCCAATTGTTCAGTGGCGCCCTAACACAAGGACCTGCTAAACCATGAGTTTTTAAAGCCACATACACTGTACATTTTCACTAAGAAGTGGCTTCTAGAGACAATAGAGTGGGGTGCCCAATAGACAGCATTTTTGGAGTTAACATATCTCGCAGGGTGAAAATGGGCTTTGCACTAAACCAATTGTCATCGAGGAAATGATCCCTCTATACAAGACAATCGAGGAACCATGAACACATTGCCATGCTCTGATCCATGTCATCTCGGCCTAGCAAAGATGAACATGGTAGAATCTTAGGATCTGCCTTGAGAATGCAGACTGTTGATGTGTAGGAAAGTCCTAGCTGCAGATCATCCACAGACAGACGTCACATGGGACTCGGCTACTGAAATCTGCACTCTGGTGACGTTTAAAGGGCTGCACATGATACGAGTTCGACCTGAAGTTGTCATGTTTTAAAGAACGTTTTACTTCTGATTCGCTATAGATCCAAACTGACGGAACTTCTCTACTCATGACGCCAAAGTTCTTGAGGGCACCTAAGCATTCTCTTCATGCCTTGGCAGAACTTACGAAATGTCAGGGATGGTGAGTTTGTGGAGAGGTAATGTTCATTACAAAAAGCTCTCTGCTCTTTACTAAACGTAACCATGATCTAAGCAGGCTAAAGAAATTTTGGAAAAATAATATCTGCAGACTTCTGTTGACTTGTTAGACTGCTGTAGCTTGCAATATGGCGCGATTGTTGTAACTTTTAGTGGTAGGTCTAATGCAAACTGGTGCGTCATGCTATGAAAATGACGACAATGTTGAAAATGGGTTGGGGTTTTTGTTTCTATATAGAGCAAAAGCATTCAATGGACTTATCTAAAATACATATTAGACAAATTCCTTTTGGCTTCCAAACATTATGTTCAAATCTGAAAGCAAAACTTCAGTATGGAGGAAAATATTTTTAAAACAAATTGTAACGGGGTTTTATTTTGGATCACCCTGTATACAAGAATATGACATCAATAAAAAAAGAAACATACAGTAAGTACACAGTGAAAAGAAATGTACCGTAAGTACACTAAACTTGACGTCGCTGAAAGCCTGAGTTTGAGTAAAAAGAAGCAGTTCGACACAATTACAGGTAAGAAGCAAGCCAGATAGACAGAAACAACAGAGGGGAAGAAAAAAAGATAGACCTGCCAGTGGCGCCCTCCAACCTCCCGCTCAATTAAAAGAAGTACACCGTGAGTAGACAAGAATCTGATGTGAATGAAAAGAACTATGCTGTAAGTTTTCCAGAATCTCTGAGGTCTACGGGAAGAAAAGTACCGTAAGAATACAAGAATATGACATTGAGGAAAAGAAATTGTAAGTACCTAAAGATATGAAATCAATAACAAGAAATATTCCGTAAGTACACAAAAATCTGACGTCGATAAAAAGAAGTATACAGTAAGTACACAAGAATATTATTATGACTTTAAGAGTACACAACAATATGACGTCAATGAACAGAAACACACCTTATGTACTCACTAACCTCTGACGTCAATGAACAGAAACATACCTTATGTACTCACTAACCTCTGACGTCGATGAAAAGGAACATACCGTAAGTACACAAGAATGTGACGTCAAAGAAAAAAGCATACCTTGGGTACACAAAACTATGACGTCAATGAAAAGAAATGTACCGTACGTATAGGTCAAAGAGAAGAAACATACTACCGTAACTACATTAGATTATTATAATGTCAATGATAAAAAATATACCTTAAGTACACCAATATGACGTCAATGAAAAAGAAACATACCGTAAGTACATAATGATATTAAGACGTCAATTAGAAATTTAAAAATTCCCTAAGTATACCGTAAGCATACAAGAACTGTCGTCAATGAAAGCAATTGTAGTATTATCTCGCTTATAATTATTGTGCAAAATAACTCTGACCTTCGTCATAATACAAACACACTCTCTCACGCGCACACACACACACACACACACACACACACACACACACACACACACACACACACACACACACAC